TAGCTGCCACTTCTTCCTTCAAGAAAGTCCTCCATGAGCAAAACATGGATCGCTGAAGACCCTTCCACCTACCAGAGAAGGATGGATGAACTCCTAGGGGTATTAGAGACATGGGGCAGCTTTCATAGCGGAGCTAAGTAAGAAGGCCGTTTTCTTTCCACAAAAGAAAAAAGACACCTTAACCAAAACAAAAGTCTTCTTTGCTTCATCAGGAGCTTTTCATGTTTTTTGCTACATCAAAACAAAATTATTTTTAGAGTATAGGTTTTGGGCTTCTTTTGTCTCTGTGTCTCATTTTTGTCCCAAGAAAGTTATTTGCTTAAAGTCTCTGAAGAAATCTGTAGCAGAGCTAGAAATCAAACCCAGATCTCCTGAGTTCCAACCCAGGGCCAGATCAACCTTCCTTCAATATACAGAGATAAGTTTGTCAGCACAGTTATACACTGACTAGGAAAGGAGTGGGAAAAGGAAGAGATGGACAGGCCTGCCTTCAAGCAGTCACAAAGGCTAGGTACAGACATTCAAAAAGCCCAATGTGGAATCGATCTAAATGACGTGGTTTTCTGTAAGTGGTGTAGGTTAGAACAGGAGCAAACAGAACATACATTTGCCCTTTGAGGCAGCAGGCAAATCTTAGACCAGGTTATACCACTTTTAAACCAGTCTGTGTGTGCTGAACATCTGTTCCATTACAGTTATAGACCAGTTTCTGATTACTTATACACATGGGCGACTGGTGCCACCTTAGGGGGGGCACCTGCCCCGATAGCAACCAGTCAGCGACCCGGGGGGGAGGGGTCCCCCTATGGCCAATCTCGCCGACCGGGGGTGGGGGAAGCCCCCCCATGGCAAACCTTATTGACCAGTGAGTGGCTGCACTGCTCCTGGAAGCAGCAAGAGTGCTTCTGGAAGCAGCTGCACCTACATCCAGTGCTCCCATTCCCTGGCCAGTGCTTGCAGGGGTGGCACTGGCACTCCCACCTGCCCCCCCCACTCATTGCCTAAGTGGGGCGCACAGCTGGTCAGGGGGTGCACCAGTGCTCTCAGGGGGTGCATGTGCACCCCCTTGCACCCCCCACACATTGCTACTGCTTATACCAGTAAAAGTATAATGTCTGTACCTGGCCCAAACCATACTTTCATCAACATGATTGCTTTCACAGGAATTTTTAGGGCTAAAATGCCACTTATTTAATGAAAAGCATTCTGATTTAAAACAAAAAAACTTTTAAAGAAAAGCTTGAACTTCTCCAGGGTAGCTGAGCCACAGGGCTGGATAAGATCTCAAGACGGTGGGTAGATTATAGCAGTGTTTGGGAGATATTCAGAGAGTGTTTACTTTAAAGAGAGGCAAGGAAGCATAGGAGCTGAGGAGGAAGAGAATGAGAAGGGATAATGGTATGAGGGAGGACAGAAAGAAATGTGAAAATAATAAAAGGGCAAAAATAGATCAGAAAATGAACAATACAAGAACACTACACGATGAAAGAGAGAAGAAAAAAGTGAAAGAACAGTTCATGTATTTCACATGTGTTCATGTGTTTAAATTGCTTCCCACCCTCCCCCGCTTTTCTTTCCCTTTTCCTTTCTCACAAAACCTTCATCGCTCCAACCTCAGTACTTCATTTGAGTATCGAGTGGGTTTTATTCCCCCTTTTAAATCCATCCAGCTGAATTTCTCCCTCTGTTCCTGCCTATTGGAATTGTAGGGGTGAGCTAAAGAGCCCCTGACCTTCCTTTTTTTCCCCTGAAAACTTGGTCAGAGAGACAATAAAAAGTACAGATTCAATATATGTCAGGAAGGGAGAGAGCTGGGGAGAATGCAGTAGCACAGAAACCTTGCCACACATATTTGAGGGGAGATGATTTTAGCCTTTTCATCCTAGAGTCTTTGTTGCTGGAGACAGAATAGTGAAAGGACAGTGGTAGTGTGCTAAAGTCCATTTATTTGAGACAGATGCTGAAATTAGACTTCTGTCTTCCTGGGCATGGCTATCTTTTGGTTGGACTTGGATACTTTGCTTGACTGTTGGTGGGGTTTGATGTTTTTACTTTTTCCTATGCTGGTGGGGGGAGTGGAAAGCCTCTGATGCTGCCACTGCCCTCTGAACAAGCATTGATTGGCACAATATACCTGAATCATTGATGCTAAAGTGTAGAAAGTATTGTCAGGGATTTGGTTGAGAGTAGGACCAAGAGTTCCCAGGGCAGCCAGTTGTGATCTTGATGTAGCATGCCAGGTATTGGGTTGTAGCTGGAAAGACCCAAGTGCCAAAGGTTGTGTGTATGTGATTTCAGCAAGGAATTTAATCCTTTTGTGCTTTAGTACCACATCCAAAAAATGGGGATAATACCAGTTTCCTCCCATCCTTTGTATTATTCTCTAAGACTGGCAGCTGATCCAAGCAGGAACTGTTTCTTACTATATATATAGGTAACACCTGCATGCATAATTTTGCCCAGGGCAGTGCAAATAATAAAAATGTAGCTGGCCCAGTGGTTCTTTAGCTCCAAGATGGCTGTTTAGTTTGGTGACAGGAAGGCCCAGGAGCAAAACCAAAATGGTGACCTGTCAAAACCAAAATCAAATTGCACAGTCAGTGTAGCCGATGCCTGTTTTTACTATGCAGAACTAGAGTACTATGTGCTGGGAGGGACGGTGTATGCAGGAGCATTTCACTGAGCAAGGGATCAAAAAAATGAACAAGTTGCAGCAACAGCTGCTCTGCAGTGATCCCCTCTGGATGAGGCATGGAATAGCAGGAACTAGCTCCAGGAGAAGCTGCCTTTCACTTTGCTTCTGTAGCCCCAGTGAAGCCCACACTGCGGGGCTTGGGATGAGGCAAATGTAGCAGAGAATATTTTAAAACAAACAAACAAACAGTTATACAGCAAATCTAATTTAAAATATGCATTCTGTGGTGAAACTTCTGATAATAAGATCAGAGATGATTGTGCCACTGGAAAGAGCAGAGCCTCTTGAGGGGCTTAGCTACAGTGCTTTGCTAGAGATATCTCAAAGAGGAATAGTTAACTAGGTCTGAATGTTTTTAACCCCCAAATCAAAAAATTCCTGAAGGAGAGTGGACTCCAATTATTCTCTGAGGCAGAAGGGATTAAAAAATGAGATTGACCACTTTTATAATAACTTTTCCCTGGAAGCCCTGAGCTCTGATAGCATGGCCACGTTTGCAATTGTGTTTAGCCTAGGAAAGAACAGTAATTGAATGTTATCAGATTGTAAGGGGCTGAAATGTTGAACCAAGAGTCTTAAGTTATGTGAATCATGTGCTGTAAGAGCAGGGACACTAGGAACTGCTAATGTGAAGGGGGCTTCTTCCTGTGATTTATTGGCAGGTACTGCTTGTTTGATTTGTGCTTATTTTATCCATGGCACCATGACAGAAAGCACTCTCTGTGGGCAGGCGGGGAGAGCAGGGGGAACTGGGCTGCATGTTATGGAGAAGCTACTAAGGAATAGGGAGCTCTGAATGTGTAACTTTATGATTAGCCCAAATGTTTGTAACTGGTCTGATATGAGACTGTTCAGGGAGTTTGAAGAAGATCCTGGGAACTGAGAGCCAGGAAGAAAATGAGGGTGTCTTGTCACTTGGGATTTTTAAAAGCTTAGACAGAGGTTTTCCCTCCTCAGATGTGTTGGGTTTTCCAACTCAAATTCTGGGGTAGGGTCAGGTGCAGCTTAGTTACCTTTTTTAAAGATTATACTTGAAGGTTCAGTCCTTTGGGTAGATGTGATATCTGTTATTAGACCAACTGAGTAATTGGAAAAAAGTTATTTGCAAGCTGTTGCACACAAGTACCTTCTTCAGCCTTTGGGAGTCTCTGTTATTGTTCTGAGATCTCCAAGGAATGAATACTTGAAGGTTACCCTTGAAGGAGTGCAACTGCTCCCCTATGCTGTATCAGAGACAATTGATCCCATCCTTTCACAGATGAAGCCTGCCTTTTCTCCTGTTCTGTGACAACATGGCTCCCAAGGCAGTTTTGTTTCTGCAGACTACTTCGTCTTTTCCTCACGTGTCCCACCTGCAAACTGATTTCCTGTCTCTTCAAGAAAGGAGGGTGCAACTAGCATTGCACCCAAGCCCCTTGCACAGAAGCTCGTGCAGCAATTGTTCCCCACAGCTCCTGTACTTGCAGGTCTTTTTCCACCCACCCTCCACTCTGATCACCAGAGATCCTGGCTTCCTCTGATTAAAAAAAAAAATCGCCAATTTTCAGGTTAAAAAAAGGAACCCCAAATCCACATTTTTCTGTGATTAAAATGAAATGCCACTAATATATATATTGACATATCTATATATCTATATTATATACAATATATAGCTATAACTATGTCCATTATATATAATAGATAGCTATGGATATATAGCTATATCTAGATCTATCTATCAGTGGTGTTTCATTTTAATCACAGAGAAATGTGGATTTGGGGTTACATGTGTTTCCGTGATTAAAATGAAACACCACTGTCTCTCTCTCTCTCTGTCTCTCTCTAGATATAGATATAAATATCTATATCTCTATATCATACCTCTATCTATCTATTGATAGATATAGATATTTCTATCTAGATAGATAGATATCTCTATCGATCGATCAATAGATAGATTGTTCCATCTATGTATATAGTGGTGTTTCATTTTAGATATCTATCTGTCTATGTATAGACATCTATAGATAGATAGGTAGATACCTATATCTATATTTATCTATCTATATAGTGGTGTTTCATTTTAACCACAGCAAATTGTGGATTTGGGGTTCCTTTTTTTAATCTAAAGTTGGGAGGGTTTTATTAATCCGAGTATACCAGGATCCCTGCTGATCACTTCCGATGTTTGTGTGCTCTTTTCCCACCCCCCGTCACTCCTGAGCATCCGTGTGGCCTGTTGTTGCGGGCGGGGACGGCACTAGGACCCAGCGAGCTCCCCTCAAGCCGCCCGCAGAAAGGCAGCGGAGCAGACTCCTCCTTATCTCCAGTGTCAAACTTGACATCAGCCTGCGAGCGGAGCATGGTAACTTCTCCTGCAATCAGAGCTCTCACATCAGTGGCATGCTTCAGGAAGATATGCTCCTCTCACTGCCCGCTGCACCAGCAACATGGATTGTCACATCTCCATCCTCCTCCTCCTCCTCTGCTCTGCCCTGGGGGAACTGATTCTCCATCCTACCAACGAAGGTAAGGGAGGCACAGCAATTAGCAGCCCCCAGCAGTGCCTGCACTTTCCCTCCTCTTTATCTCGGATCCTGTTTGAAACCTGGTCCACATCGGGGTTTTTAAGGTGGTCCTGGATTATAACTGTGCGCTCATCCTGGAAACTAGGGATTTCTTCTTTTTTTCGGGGGAGGGGGAGAAAAGAAAAGGAGCGCTAAGCCCTTTGCAAACAGATGTGGAGCAATTGTAATCTGCAATCAGAATGCAAAACCATTAGCATTTAATTTAATTAATGCAAAGGAGCTTCTCCTTTCCCTCTCCCCCTAGTCACTGCCACAGTCCTCTTACAAGAAAGTTAAAAAAGCAAAATGTTTCCCCCTCCTCCCCTTTCAATTTTTCTTCTGTGAGCATATCTCTCGGAGTGATGATATGTCGGAGTGACTGTGACCCATGACATTTGGGCATGCAAGGGAAGGGAGGTTGTGAGGTGAAAGAAAGCTTATTGCCCTGTGCTTATCTAGCAGCTGGATTTTTCCACCCAGGTGAAAGTTGTGCCTGTGCATCTCAAGGTGATGGGCTGCTTTGTGGCACAGGTTATAATGAGCCGTCTGTGCACTGTTAATGGCACTGCTAACGGGAACCATCATAGTAATGCACGGTGTACTTGTCTGGATACTCGCATGTAGGAAAAGTACATGTTATGCTGTGTCAGAGAGCTGAAGGAGGAGGGGAAAGGAAGAAAAGATGGAGAAAAAAGAAAAGAGTAAAGAAGGGGGGGGAAGATTGCGCGCTTTTCTGCCACTGAGTTTATATTTTAAGTGCCTCCCCCGTTACACAATTACAGAATTGATCTTGGTGTTTCAGGACTGCTGTATGGAATATAATGGGTATAATTGCCTTGTGTTTTTTGGGTTTTTTTAGTCGTTAGTCTGAAATAGTTTTCAAGTGACTGCTAATTATATTGAAGAATCACATAAGTTTTCTAATTAACATAAATACACATAAAAGAAATGACATATGGCTCCTATCTTCTGATTCCATTACTGGTAACTAAACCTCAAACCTTGTTTATATGCATGATGGTAGTGATTTAATTAGTCTTGTTCTATTCCAGAATTTTTAATGAAATAAAAGAGCAGCCACTTGTGCTCCTGTGTTTATATAATCTACAGTTGTTGCTATAACAATTTAATTTCAGTCTTTAACTCCTTCAGTGAATCATGCATCTAATTCTCTTTTAATCCACCCATGCAAGACCTTAATACTACGTTCTGTTTTGCCCTTCCTAGTATGATTTGGCGACATTCCTGCGCTTAAAATGCACAAATTTCAGAAAAATAATTACACCCATCCGACACTCTCTAGAAAAGTAATGTTTAAAAGATAAATGGATAACAATAAGTGGTGTTTCTGCTCACTTATATGTTGGACACAGCCTCTGGCACCAGTGTGTCCAAAGCAATTGTCTTTTATCTGTAAAAACCAGAGGCCAAAAGATTGTGAATAAGTTCTAGCAGGAAGCAAAGGTTTAATGCCCCCCCCCCCCCAACAAACATACAAAAAAACTTGCACCTGCTTGATACACAGCATTTGTACAGAGACAAAGATATACAAACTATTGAAATAATAATGTCTGGTGCAGAAGTAAATCTGCTGACCTGAGTGGTGCTTTGGCTACATTCGGGGTTAGGCAGTAATTGAATAAAATTATTTATTTTATATTAGACTATTATGGAATGAATGAGGCTTAATGAATCCAAGCAAATTTTAAATCCTCTGTTTTTACTGCTTGGGAAGCATCCATTGTATCATGTTATCATAAACATGATAGATCATCTGTTTGTACGTGTGTTTTCTCTGTGTAAATATTTTTGTATAGTCAAGGTTTCAAAGGTTATTTAATAGAACGTGCTTTCAAAGTGGTAGGCTTAGCTCAAACTTTCTTCAGCTATGCATTATTATATAAATATTGTCACCCTTCACAAATAATTTTGGCTAATACAAACAAGCATGTTAGTGAAGTTTACTTGTGTGTGTGTATTTTATTGCAAAAGCTGCGTAATAAGGTACGTAGTTCTGTTACACAGTCAGCAGAGCAGCTTTGCTTCCGTGGCAGATAGACACATAGTATAAACTAGGACCTTAATGAAGGGCAAAAGATATTTTTTCCAAGTTTGCAAGAACACCACTGGATTTTTTTTTATTATTTTTGAAAGTTGCTGGCTTTGACATTTAATAATATTGAATTAGGCAAAGTGAGGGGTGTGTGTGTGGGGGGCGGAATTCTGTTTAATACAAAATATATATTGGGGATTGCCACCCCAAAAAGACTTTCATCAAGACAGTATTCATTATGACTTTTTCAGGTTTAGATTTGTTTATTTTAAAATCTTATGCAAAATAAAATGTATGTAAACATTTTCTAAACGTTTAATGGAAGCACTAACAAAAGAGCAGCTCCTACATGTTTCATCTTCCAGATGAATATATTCAGTGTTCTTTCCTCAGGATGAAAAGTAAGTGTGCCTGCAAAAAAGAAATCATACTAACTTTAAAATGATTGAATTTTTATGGTCATTTAGGAAGGCTCAGGTTAGCTTTTCAGTTTGGTTACTGCATATTTAGAATAAAATGGTAAGTTTAAAGGTTTGCGTTTTTATAAATTGTGAACCTCAGACACAAGCCCACAAAGTGCATTTGACAATCAAGTATCCATGTGCAGCTTAAAATCTGAGTTCAGAAAGGTTTTCTATTTTGCTTTGAGTGATTTTTTTTTTTTTTTTTTTTCTCCCAGCCATCTTTCTTTATTCTTCTCCCTCCCCACCTTTGCCCTAAATTTCCACACAAAAAAATGAAGGGAAAATGAATATTTACGTACCCCCACCCAGCTGTGAGAAAGGTAAAAGCAGTGATTTTTCAGAAAATATTATCAAGTGGTGTGTCTGTATAGCCAGATTGATGAGGTGATTTGATTAAAATATATAAATGTATAGTTTATTTACACATATATCCATATAGTCAGTTAATTTTGGCATTCAATTAACTTTAGTAACTATTTAATTTCTCATCACCAACACTTTTAAGAGAGAACTTTTCATTTGCTGTTCAGTACCGCGTAACTTATGGTGGCATGGGAGCAAATACATAGTAGGCATATTGAAGTTTCTGTGGTCTGTCACCAGAAACTTACGTCAGATTTTTCTGTGCCTCTGGAAGAATTAAATAGATTTTTATGAAGGCGTTTTAATAGTAAACTATGATGTAAAATGCAGAGTCATTTCACCTAATTCTAATGCTGAAACAGAAAAAAATAGAAGTAATGGTCATGTAGGCTTACTTCACTTTCCATTATTAAATCCAGGTGGACTTTTTTTGGTTAAGGAGAGGTAGAACATGGGATGATTTACATCATCACTAACATTTTTAATTTAGAGAAACCATTCTCTTGTGGAAACGGCTAATTTCCTACAAAGCTTATTCCTTACGTTATCCACCACGGAGTAAGCTTAGCTTCAAATAAAAACATGCTTCCACTTTGTACTTCTCAACAGTCTTAGTAGTTAAGATGTTTAAAAGTGGGGTTTGGCTCTGTCTACTACTGAAGTGCATCCCATTTTGCGTGAAATCAGAAAACGTTAAGAAGAATGGATTTCTGACTACAGCGAGTGGCTTATTCCCTGTTTTAGGTTAGGCATCAGTTTTCAACTTGCAAACAGAAACCGCAGTATGACAATATGCCGTTACCCTTAAGGTGCATGGAAACCACGTGCACTGTTATTCCAGTTGTATCTAACACTTTTTTACTTTGCAAGGATTACATTTTCTTTCTTTTCTTTACAGGAATGTAGTTCCTTTCTAAACAGTTCATCTATTATCAAGAAATTGAATGAGTTATATAATTCTGTAATGTAATAGTTCTTCTTGATCATTTTCTATAACTATGCTATTTGCCCGAGGGTACCAACAACCTTAATTTCACTGTTTTATAACCCACAACAGTTAACACTTGACCTAGGTCATTAACAGGATTATCAGCAAATTTGTTTAAGCTTTTACTGACAACCTGAATTGCTTCAATAATATTTTGACTGTGCAGACAGGAAACTTCTTGTAACCTCTCAATCTAGCATAAAATTAATTTCTTATGAACATGACTTCAGAAAGAGACCAATATTGTAAATGTGTTTACAGTACTTGGTTTTAAATAGTCTCAGCTTTGGTAAACAAATAGCTTCTAATCAGTTCCTCTTTTTGGGCTATATTGTTTTCCACTGTGTGGTTTCGTGTGTTACTCATGTTTTACCATCTCGGGACTGCACATCTTTCTGCAATCAAAACTGCATAGCTTTATTTACGTAAGTTTTTAACCCAAGGACTTTATTAATATTAATATGCTTTGTAGTGATGTCAGCTGTTGAATTTTTTGTAATACCAGTGTCAGTTTTGCAGTGGAATGTATGACTAACTTGTCCGTAGATGTTTTAGTGATGTTAAGAAATGCTGAAAAGATGGGAAATTTTTCTGTAGAAACTGAAAGGGAGTGTTGTCTTAGAAATACTTTTTAACAAACCTTTTCTTACTGTATGTCAGCTGCTATTAGGTCATGCAGGGCTTGATGCATCATGACATAAATCCTGATGCATTTAAAGTTAAGCGACTACTTTTTAAGAGTTTAATTGTGAAAACCATAAAAATAGCTTGAGAAATATTAACAATAACCATATTGTCCTCTTGGACTTGAATTTAGGAAGAATAAAACTGGTGAGATTTAAAGGGCTATTTTTCATACAGCTGTAGCTTATTCAAAGCTGCTGTGCTTTAATCCCTATCTATATGGTGAGACAAGTAATGAGCATGCTTTAAAATTCACACCATGTTGTTTTTAACATGCAGTGATACAGGAAGAGAAAGAGCAGATCCTTTGTTTTGTAAGACTGTTTTTAATAGGAGGTTTTAATTCTCTGAATTATTTGTTTTCTTTTGTATTGGTCACTTTAAATCTTTCCTGATTGATTAATTCTGTG